TGCCAATCTTCCATTGATTATTGATTGCTGATGACATCAGCTGATTACCTGTTTTTTGCTGTTGTTGTTAGTACTCGGATCTGGAGCTGGCCATCAACACGCTGGTCACAGAGTTTCATAAAGCCTCAGACAATGGACCAACCATCAACACCACCCAGTTCCAGACCATGATCTCCAAACAGATGCCAGCATTTGCCAAGGTACAGGACCATGACATCACAGCTCATCCTCCAATCACAGCACACCTCAGTGGGGACCAGAGCATATGAGCAGAGTGGAGCAGTGAGAATCTCCATCCCTCCCCAACGGAGCTGTTTGCATGCAGCTCAGCTCATCGCACCCACTCGCTCTAAAAAAAAAAAAGGGGGGGGTCTGCACGTATTTCACTTTTAGCGTAGTCTTACAGCTAAAGAACAAATTTTTTCCAAATAGAAATTATTTATTTTGAATTCTAGTTAGGCCTGTGTAACAATGAATAGAATACAAAAGTCGTGTAAAACTCAGTGAATCAAAAATATACAGTATACCTGTCTGACCTTTCAGTTTCCTTTTTAAAGTACTTTAAGGAACTTGAGTATTGAGCTCGCAAAGGCTGATTTTTTGGTTTAAAAGTGTTGGATGACTACGTGACACAGGTGCATTCTGGCTCGGGTAGGCTTCAGGCTCATGGTGTGAAGCGTACCGGAGCCGAGCTTACGATGTCACTCCCTCCTTTTTTAAAAGGCCACTCTGCGCTCCATCCCCGTTCGCTCACATGCTCTGGTGGGAACTCATACAGCTGAAACCAAATCGTCTCTGAAAAGCCTCGTTTGGCTCATTAAACTACTGGAGGTTCTAGTGAGGCTCAGAATAAACTGACTCCACAAACCACTGCTAACCACTCTCTGCCCCTCCCATCCTGCTCCTTAAGATACAACCTGAACTACAGATGACTGGTTGGGACAAACTGCCTAAAAAGCAGCCTCCAGTCTGAAGCTAGTGTTAGCTGGCTAACAGTAACTGTGTCAGTCCAGTAGGACGCTCTGGTTACTGCTGATGTGACACAAAGCTCCAGTTACTCCCTAAAGAATGCCACATATGAATGAATCCAGTCTGAGTCCTTTGGCTGCTTTTAACCCTCTCCATGTCAAACAGCCAAACCGATGTTAACCCTGGTTGCTGCTCTTTCTTTGTCCCACTCTCTCTGTGCAAAAGACGCCACCTCTTCACTCTTGGCAGCTGCTGCTTCAGACTGTTAGCTGCCCAGAGCTCCTCCATGGCTGTTTGACATGACTACTGGCAGCTGAAAAACCCTTATTCTAGCCTGGTGCACCATCTGATGTAGTAGAGTCAGCTTGAAGCTTGTTTAGGTGACAAAAACATAAGCACAAAGACACATATAGACACACAAGATGAGACACAGCATGCTGTTAACCCAACCAAAAGCCAGTACAATTGCACAAAAAAACAAAACAAAATGTAAAGTCAACAGTTACAAAGTGTTTTTTTTAAGCATATTTTTCATTTTGGCTTTGAGACTGTCTCTTTACAGTTTCCTGTGTTTAGTTGTGTTACCTTGTGTTTCACTGGCTGATTTCAGACCGTGGAGAATGAAGACGGTCTGGCTCAGGTCCTGCAGCAGATGGGCGTCCAGAGCGGTCAGAACATCTCCTTCGACAACCTCTGGACTCTGATCAACAAACAGGCCATGGAGCTGTTCGGCACTATGCACAAGGACAAGAACGTCAAGTGCACCTGCCTGCTGCAGTAACATACCTGCAGCGATACCAGCGACACATCCTCACCTATCGGCTGTCTCGTGTCGACCACAGGGGGGCGCTGCAGGATCAGTCACACAAATGACAGAAGAGTTTTACTGATCATTTTCCAACACAGTTTGTGTTACAACCTGCAGTCTGTTGTCCCTGTACAGAGGACCAGTGGTGACTTGGTGGGAAATAAAAATGACAAATAAGTCAAACTCTAATCATCAAGTAGGCCAAGAAATTTAAATCATATCAATAAGACTGTAAAATGTTCAAAGAAGTGCAGAAAGTTGGAAACAAATTTTGTTTTCTAAGTAAATAAAATGCACCAAGAACCTCGTTGTTATTCCTCCTTTATTTATTTTCCAGTAGGTTTTATTTGGTCCTCTGTACACGGTCAAGTTCAAACTTAAAATGTCTAAACAGAAAACAGTTTCTTACAATTTAAACAGAAAAACAACAGTTTAATTAAATGACTGCATACTTTTCCAAAAGTTAAAACATGATACAAGATGTCTTTTATTAAGGAAAATGTAAAGGTCCTGAGTTTATTGTTGCACCAAGTGTTTTAAATTCTTTATCGCATCTCCTAATTAAAACTGTTTTTGATACCAACAGCTGACGTTTATATTCAGTTTACATATTACTGACGTATTTTCCACAGTAAACCTTCTGGTCATCCCGGTTCTGTTGACGCAGGTCACTGTTTATGTTTGTGACTAAATGTGTCACAACTTTTATAACAACCCAAAGTGTGCTGAGTGAGTTTTTATGGTCAGTCATGTTAGGGTGATTTTTATTTTTTAAGTAGATATGAATAGAATTAGTTAAGGTTTTTATTATATAGCATACATAAGTCTATATACTTTAATCTTACAGTTATGTTCATGTAGTTACATATCATCCTATGTGTTCACTGAGTCACTGGTCAATATAGTGTTAGCCAACTGGAGCAGTGTTTAACATCAAGGGGGACTGGTTCACTAAAACACTGAATCTCATTAGATTTACAGCTTTGGCAAAGAGGGTCCACAGTTACTTTACTATCACCACCTGGCAGATGAGCCCAGGGGAATTAGGGTTCACTGGGACACTATGGTTAGAAAACAGAGATTAGATCTGAAGCCAGGAAGAGGAGAGAACTTCAAAGGTAGAACCATTACACACACACACAGGCAGAGCAGTTTAATTGGAACCGGAAAGCAATGCCTAATATGGAGCAGTTAGTTGGAAACAAAGAAAGAAGTAAGTGTCTATGTAGGAATTAAAACAGAACAGGTATTCCTCCCTTTTCTAGGGGGCTGTCCATGACCATTGGAGCAGGGAGGATGATTGGAGGACGGACGGACTGAAGGACCAATAACAGGAGAGTTAAGTCTAAACCACGGCTCCTCCCCAACAGCTTTTGACCAATTAGATAGTAGCACCTTTTCATACAAATATTGTATACCGGCAAGCTGAGGACAGTCTTTTCTGTTTTTCCTAAACAGTGAAGATCCATGTGCACATGCTTATTTTGATACGTTAATGCATAATAAATTTCACATAGTGAAATATATATCTTTTTATTAGTCTTCTCAAATAAAAGAACTTTCCTCACAGTCACCAAAAACTTAATGTTCGTGCTTTATCAAACATAAGTCGAGGAGGAGACACGGAGCCAGAATCTCACTTTAGACTTATGCTACATCGGTTGCAGAGGAGTGTTTCTGATAGTTAAGCCTATCCTCACTGATACGAAGTGGACAAAATAACAAACACCTGTACAGTGAAGCTGATTTACGGCCTAATAAACTGGACACTGGGCTTTTCCTACATCAGCATTACAAGTTCTGTTGTCTTTTCTGCATCTTTAATTGGGATTTCTAATATTGATACAAATAATAAAAAAGTCGCATATCCAAAAGCTGTTTTATGTGTATAAGTGCTATTTTAAAGAGAGAAATATTTTTAACATAAAACAGCAGACACTCTGACATTAAAAAATGTGTTTTTAGAAAAAGGAAACTTACTTGAATGCAAACCAGTAAAATCATAAACCAGAGTACATTCTATCAGCAGGTAGTGCACAACAGATCAGACGTATGCAGGCCAACAAATCAATCAAGTCCCTACACTCGCCTGCAGGCATCTTCCTCCTCCAGGTCAGCAGGAGGCGCTCTCTGTGGAAGGTTTTCCCATCAGGCTGCCTCCTCCATCTGAGGCTCACCTCCTCCCCTGCTCCTGCTTCAGCTGCCAGACAGTTCAACACCCTCCAGTTCATCGGTCCCTGTGGTTATTAGAAGCTCTGAGCAAAGATGCTGCACACAGAGGGAACCAACTTCCTGCAAACAGGAAATGTGAACTCATGGTTCAAATGTAAACTGAAAACGGCTGTTTTCCTGAGTCTGTGACTGACTGACCAGGATCTCTGCTGCACTTCTGTTTCCTCCCTTGTTGCAAATTTACTTCTTCCTGCACAGTAACCGAACCACTTCTGATCGCTACAATTTATTGCATTCGATACACCTTTTTAAATATTTCATTTTGGTTTTTAATGTGGTTCTAATGCTTTTCCAGTGACCTGTAAGTCCTCCCCTGTGGACGGTGCTACAGGTACGCCAAGACAACCAGACACAAGGACCGTTGCTATGATCAACAGAAAACCCATGAATGTAAGCAGAACAACCCTCAGTGCACTACCTGTAAATACAACTCTGTATATATCAATCTGGAAAACTGCATCTGAACTGTGTGTATACAGATTTCTATATTTATAAGCACTGTGCAGAGATGGAGAAGCTGCTGGAGGACGAGCGTCTCGGCAACTCTCCATCCATCAGGTGAAGCTGCTTGGAGTCGGTCTTTGTATTCTGATGCAAGAACCTACTTCATGTAGAAATGCTTGTCTCTCCTGTTCATCAGAGTAAAAGGTTGAGCTGCTCACATAGCGAGCGGTGCAGACCAAGTGGCTTGTGGTGGCAGTTTGAGTCTCACTAGACCCTCCCTGCTGAGAAGGTGTTAGAGTAGGTTTAGCTGAAGTTGCTAGGTGGAGGCTGTCAGGCGTTGCTCACAGGCTCCTGAGACATTTGGTCACCTCATTTATTCTCTGTGAATCATTTCCACAGGACAACAGATTAGTTTCCTGATCGTCCTCCTGTCCTCAGTGCTTGCTTCAGTCGAGGTTTGTGCATTAAACTGGATGGTTTTGGTTTTACACAATACATTTACATGTATTTTGAAGAACAGACGCTCCAGTTGGCATATAACCAAGGAAAGTGTGTTGTTTATTTAGTTAAGAATTCATCATGAATACAGATCCACCATTAAATTAACAGACAATAAAAACACAGGTACACACGAGACAGATTTTCTTGTGACACTGACTTAAAACCTTTATCAGTCCATACAGTTCATTGGACCAAGCTTTTAAAAATCTAGTTTTTCCACTCATCTGCTGTGCTCCTCAGAGCGACAGGTTGACATCGTTCTTACACTTGCCACTGCTGAGGCTGTGGATCATGCCGATCATCGCGGAGAGTTTGTTCAGCTCTTCCTCCTTCTGCTTCAGCTTCGTCTCCAGCTGGCTCTTCTGCAGCTCCAGAGACGACACCTGAGAAACAGGAAACACCACGAGCTCACTGTTACAGTGCTTCACTAAGTATTCACACCACTTTCTGCCAAGTTTATTGTGCTGAGCCTTTAATGTGAAACAAAACTGACATTCATGCCCATCCATCTATATTCAATACCCCATAATGCATGTCACTAACCTTGTGTATCCTTGATTATTGGTTTTACTAGTGTTTGTTTGTTTCTAATTAAATTTTCACTTTTGACTGAAAAGTTGGTTCTGATTGCTCTGTCTGTGTCGCGAGGCAGCCAGAACTCCCACAGCAACTATGAAGAGTTAATTTCCCTTCAGATAAAGCAAATGCCTTGTGAACCCACCACAGCTGATGAGTACGTATTCAGTCTCCTCCTGTGTTCAATCTGTGAGTCCAGTTGGAACACCAGTTAGATTAAAGATGTCTGAAGATGAGCCGCAAACCGAACGAGGTACAGTTTTGTTGGAGGAGAGAATGTAATCAGAACTAACTGTAGGTAAAACGACACAGCATCAAATGTGACTCAGCCAAAAGGATGAAGGACACTTCACTTCCTCCAAGTACTGACGCCAACATGTAGCTCTGACTACACTTTGATAACCAACAGGTCAAGGATTTCTGATGTGCCACATTATTTCAAATGCAAAGCACTAAACAGAACAAAGCCCCTGCTGTTCTACAGTGTATATCTCTATATCATTTCATTTTAGGTGTGTTGGAAAAAGAACTGAACCTTGCTTTGGCCCCTTTGTTACCTTGATGCTGGCACTCTTTCGGGCCTGCTCCGTCTTGTTCAGCTCCTTCCTCAGAACGTCCACCGTCTCCTCCAGGTCCCTGTTCTTCTGATCCTTCTCCTTCACCTTCTCCTCCTCTGCACGCAGGTCATCACGCAGATCTGATGGGAACAGGGCAGAGCGTTTGCTGAAGCAGTAGTAAATGGAGTGAGAAGAGAACAGGAGCCAACAGCTGGGGTTGGGACTTGTGGCAAAGTAACTGATCACAATCATTTTTCACCCACTGGTCAGTATCGACAATTATCACAATTTAATTCAAGTTATTTGTGTGCTTGACACTGAATAACACAATGATGCATCAAGAATTATAATCCAATAATATCATATATAGTAATGTGAAATGTGCCATTTTGAATAATAACTTTTACTTTTGGTACTTTAAGTATATTTTGATGTACCTTTGTACTTTGACCTAAGTAACATTCTGAATGCAGGACTAAGTATTTTTACACTGTGATATTGCTACTTTTACATAAGCAAAGCCATGTTTCTTCCACCGCTGTTCAGCAATGATGATGACGTGTGAATTTATTCTCTACTTAAATGTATTTAGCCACAAACCAAAAATAAGTGCGGAGACTAAATGACTTTACATTTCTGGATTCCTACTGTTCGTAGGGATTTGTTTATTATTTCACTGGTATTATCATTGTTTGGCAATAAGAGATGATACGGTGACATTAAAAGCTCCGAGACCACACTGAGCAGGTCACAGTCACTGTGAGAACAGCTGAGTGCTGCTGCTGAGTGTCTAAGCCCCACCCCCAGTCAAACTGACAGAGACACAGACCTGAAGCTGGATGCACTGTCGACATTTAATTACACCACAGACATGTGTTTAAAAAAAAAAAAAGCACAAAAAGGGCCGCTAAGAAAGGAACAAAGCCAATAATCCGGCTCTGTTCGAAGAGCCACTGTTACCTCCAGGATGAGGCAGTGCTCATCTCTGTGACTCACATGTAGTAACCTCACCACAACAGCAGGATGTGCCGTGTGCCGTGCTCCCCAACCTGGCTGTGTTTGGTACGAGTACATTGTCTGTTCTTTAGAAAACTACCGTGTGATTGGTTAGAATTCCCTGCTTTCCTGTGATGTGACAGGCTGATGTGGTATCAAGCAAGGTCCCTTATCGACAGTTTATCCAACTTTGCCATTTTCTTAGCATTTAAATTTTACATCGCTGTATACATTATTTACATCACCCATCCCTACAACACACAGGATGAATGCAGCTGCCTTCCCTGCATACAGAACTACAGTTTCACAGATTCAAACCATTTTACTAGATGAAACTTATCCATGATGTTTAGTTCATGCTTTTATTTTCTATCAAAAAATGTCACTCGTCAACAGTCAGACGAATGCCAGTTATGTCAAAGCTACAGTCTGTAACGTGAAAGCCAAGCTAGCGCTCACACAGCCCTCCCTCTCTGCTCAACTCTTCTTCCTTCTCTTCAAAGCTCTTTTCTTGTGCCTCTATCTTGGCTAACACTGGCGTCAGTAGCTTGCTACCCTACCAGTCAGCCATCAGGATGTCAACAGAGCTAAAGCATGTTCACATGGTGACTGACAGCTGTAAGCTCCCACCCCTGACAGTGGCCTTCTCTGATTGGTTGAGAGTGCCATCCTGTTCAAAAGACTTTGGAAGAGAATATCTCAGCACTGTTGCCATGCTGTTTGATGGGTCTGGAGTCACAGGAGCCTTAGACAGCGACTCTCTCTTTTAAGATAACTTCTGGGGATGTTTCAACTAAAAGACATTTGAAAAATACTACATAATCTACCTTTAAAAGAATGAATGTTTTATATGAGAACATATAAAGGTATGGGGAGGATCAATGCTGTGGTTGACTTATTAGTTTCTGTACTCAATAAATTACTATTAGCTGTTAGACCAACCTGCGATTTCACTGTTCTTCTGCTGTACGTCTGAACGGAGTGACCCAACCTCTTCCTTCGTCTGCTCCAACACCGACGCCATCCTGAAGAAGACAGAGGCAGAACATTATTGAATCTGATGAATTAAATTAAGCCTAGCTCCTCCTGCTGCTCTGCCTTTAACATCAATAGCTTCTGTATCTTAAAAAACAAAGTCAGGAAAAACAGCAGCATTGATAGTCAGACAAAAGCAAAATGTTCAGGACTGTATGATGGCCAAGCAAACCAAAACCTACATCTGCAAATTTCTGAATATAAAACTGGAGCACAAGCAGAGTTCAGACCACATTTGTGTAAAAGAATCATGTGGACATAGATATAAGCAGTCCAAAGTCTGAAGGTGGCTTACTTTTCATGCTGCTGCTGCAGTGCCTCGTGGTTCCTCGTCAAAGTGTCATTCTGTTTGGTGAGAGAGACGTGAGCCGTCTGCAGCTCCTTCAGCAGCCGCTCACCCTCATTGAATCTACAGAGGAGAGACACCTGTTACACACCTGAAACCACCTGTCAGAAGTCAGAAAAGATCAAATGCCACATATGTAGGCTTTAATTAGCTCTTTAGGAAACTCCATTTGTCATCAAACCAGGTTAAACATTTCGGCGACAGAGGAATCTCAGTACTTTTTAAAGGGACCTTCTCGTAGGTTTGGGAGCAGGGCGTAACATGGTCGTGTTGCCAATTTGTATCTCATAAACAACCGAGACTCTTGCTGTACCTTAAATTTGTCTGACAATTCTGGCACCAGCTCTTAACAACACAAGTTCCCAAACCTCACTGTGTCTCCAGTTAGATATTTTTGTTGTCTTCATTGAAAATGAATACATTTTATTCCAACATCAGATGTTTGTATTCTTCCAGTTCAGCGCTCCACAGAACGTCGTCAACATGCCTGCTAGCTCCATGTGAATACTCCAGACTATAAGGTGCTGTCTTCTCACTTGAACACTGTACAAGGGAGCTGGGAGAGTCACCTGCTGAGTAGAGCATTGTAAGTTCTTTTGAGGGTTTGGTGCTCTTCAAAGTCTTCCTGCAGCCTGGTGGTGCGCTGCATCACCTTCTCCATGTCTGCCTGCAAGCGCTCCACCTCCAGCACCTGATTGCTTAGTTCGGTCTGCAGATCCTCACGCTGACGCTCAGCCTCCTTCAGCAGACAGCCCAACTTACGAGCCTACAGACAGAAATCAAGGGGGACACGTATCAGCAATAGAAAGTTCAAGCTGTCCATGGAGAGACTCTACCTTACTGGCTCTGAGGTTTACACAGCTGACTACAAAAGTTTACATCCCACCACTTTGAAATTCTCATCAACATAATATTTAATGCACACCCAGTTAGTACAGCTGTTCCTTCATCAACAGAAGTAACAAGAATGGTCAGGGAGTAAAATAATGACACTCATATCAGTACAGACGTTTGCATTGCCCTTTATGTTCTCTAACACTCTGTAGGTCCTTCCTAACCTCCTCAGCTGCATCCAAATGTATGTAGCATTCAGAAATATGTTGTATAACAAGTCAAAAAGCATATTAGGGGCTCCATGTTCCAGCAGCATGCTCAGTTTTAATCAGAGACCTTAACGGCATAACATGGCTCCTCCTCTAACTCCCCACTGAACACGAGGAATCCGTTTACCATTCAACACCATCAATTCTACACTGCATTATAAAATAATTAAGTTTAATCTAACTGCAATAACACTACCATTCAACCCTAATTCTGGAAACTGATGCCAAGCACAATGAAAGTGACGAGCACAGACAAATATTTTGTCACAAAACTGTGAAAAGTGTCTGTTTTCAGGAGTTCATGGTGATTCTTATGAATGTCTCGTTTTCTCTTATAAAACCCTAAAATATTCTATATTTTATAGTCTATACAACAAAAGGAAGTAGCAAACTCTCACAGTTAAGGCCAGTAGCCACAAACATTAGCTGAAATAACAACTGTCTAAGCTCTAACCAGAGAAGACTTAGCAACTCCTACTCAATATTTGTTCCCACACTGTTTTATCAAGACAACAGAAAAAGAATAAGCTGAACTGTTTTTATGCAGCCAGTGTTTCAGTTACCTCTGCCTCAGCCTGTGCTTGTTGGAGACGATAATGACCAATGAGACGGTCGGCCTGAGAGAGTGCTAAAGCCTTTGCCTCCAGCAAATCCTGAAGACGGCTCTCCTTTGACTGGCGGGGAGAAGACACAGGACAGTAACGTGACAAACTAGTTACTTATATAAATAACCCTTGACAAGGAGAAGGTATACTTTTGTAAAAGTACTGTTTTGCTGCCATGTCTATGAAAAACGAGGACAAAGAGAAAACACAATGTACAACACAATAACAGACATGCAATATTAGAAAAAGTTGATATAATGCAAAACCACAGACCTGAGTCACCAACAACAATCAGATAAAAGGTCAAGGTAGGATTTATAAAGAAACAAAGCAGCAAAGTTATTTGTCCTTCAATCACAACAACATGCTCTCATTTTACCATAAAAAAAAACATCTTTTAATTATAACAGAAGCTCAGATATACGTCTGTCACTGTCTGCTAATATCTAACATCATGCCTTTCATCTGATGAATGTACTCACAGCAAAGGCCGAGAACTTCTGTTCGTACAAGTCGATGACCTCATGCAGCTGCGAGTCCTTAACCTGCTCCTGTAACTGCCAACAAACAACACACATCAGTACAGTGCTGAGTTTCCTGCTTTCATCTTTTATGGCATCGATCAAATTACTTCAATACCACTGAGTACAGAAAAATGCTTTTCTAAATTTTTATCTATTGGTAAATAGGTTTACTTTTTATGTTATGAAACTGCTTTGAGTGCACAAAAATGCCAAGGAACTGAAAAATAAAACTAATGATCTGTACCAAAATGTGTAATCAGGATCTGTTTGCTTGTTCAATATGAATATTCTATATGATTTGTGTCACTGGAACACAAGCTGGTAAATAAAGTCTGAATTCTTTCCACCACCTGACTCTTAAACAGAACCTGAACCCTTTCAGAGACGACCCTAATAATAAGAAATCACCAACCTCCATATCTGATCACTACAGTCCATTAAATAATAAACCTTCCCAGTATCAGTTTAACATGCATGCATACTTGCAGCTCCAGGCCACTGTGCATCCTCTCGACTAGGCTGCTCACACTCCTGCTGGAACCACCAGAGGAGTCCATCAGGCTGCTGTTTGTCCTGGGAGCTTGGGCTTTCTGACCTGGAACACCCTGAAAGGGAAGTTCCGCCTCCCTCCGGCGATATGCGTTGTTGGCAGCGACTCTTTCTCCCAGACTTCAGACACACATTTTAATAAAAAGCATCAACAAGAGCACAGTGCTCTGTTGTCCACAGATCACATAGTATCATTTATTTTACCACCAGGAGATGTGAAAGGATTAGGCACTGATCCAAAGTCAACCTTGTTATACGAGTGCATGAAATGCATTGTTGCTTTTAGTCTCTCTATGGGAAGTTTGGAAGTAAGAAAAATATTTTTAAAAATCCCTCACCTCCTTTTTTGTGAATTGTGGTGCATCGTGAGGGTCCCAAACCACAGGTTGGGAACCACCGATCTACAGTGTCTTGTAGGAGACTGGTTTTATGAACCAGGTAAATTTAACAACTCTGACATGATATGCCCGGCAGCTGTCTGATATGATTCTACAAGAGGAACCTGTGTCGTCATGTGGCTGAAATGTAAATGTGACTCACAGCAGTGAGGGAAAGTCTGGGAGGGCAGTGGACTCAAACAACAAGGCCAGTCCAGTCTGCACGAGGTCCCTGCGGTGGGATGTCAGGGCCAGAGAGAGGGCAGACACTATCATCAGATCCTGAATCAGACAGAAGGCAGCAGGTCAGAAGGTAAACCACACAGTAGGACGGAAACACAAAGAGCAGAGGTGACGTGCATGTGGACCTGTAACATCCTGTAGAAGCTAGTCTCCATGTCTTTCACCTCCTGTCTCAGTTTGCTCATTAACTCCAGAGTCTTCAGCAGAGCTTCAGCACACACCTGACTGGGCAAGCAGAACACACAGCTTTAAAGCAGGTATAACTGATGTTTCACAGTCACATGGCTCCAGATGTGAAGAGAACCAAAGTGTGATGTGACACAGGGAAAAGCAGATCCTCACATCTGAGGCGACAGAACCAAATGTGTTCATTTTGCAACACAAATGACTGAGACTTGTTCATATAGACGTGCCCTTTTATCAACAGTCTAATTCACTGAAGTTTATACAACAATCAACAACCATCACCATCTGAAGCAGCAGGTCAGTATCATGTAAATCCCTTTGCACTGCCTGTTGTGACTGTAACTATCAAGATAATATTTTGATCAGCAAATACTTTATTCAATAAGATGTGACTATTGATAATGAACCAAACAATCTGACTTTCCAGTGAGCTGTGTCTGCAGTCAGCATAAACTCGCCTCTACCATCAAACCTACATTATGAGTAATCCTACATCTTGAGAATACACCTACTTTTCCTCCCTTCATCAGTCTTTTTCTTGAATAGACCTCTTTCTTATCAGTAATTCCCTTACCCAACATGTAACAGACACCACAATCCACTCCATTATAATTAGTGATCACGCTCCTATTTCCCTCACATTAAATATTGAAGCCCATACTAAACCCTCTAGAAGATGGTGCTTCAATACATCATTACTCCAGGACTTAGATTTTATTAAATTTATTGAAAAAGAGTGGGAATTCTTTCTGGAGATGAACGACTCTCCAGAAATCTCACCCTCATTATTGTGGGAAACAGGCAAAGCAGTAATTAGAGGGAAAATAATATCATACTCATCGTACAAAAAGAAAAAACAACTAGAACTGGAAAGCACATTAGAATGAAAGATAAAACAACTCACAGATTTACATTCTCAAACCCCTAGCGAGGAAACACAAAATGAATTAAGAGAACTAAAAATGCAACTTGAAAATATTATATATAAAAAAAGCACAGTTTCTCATTCAACAACTCAAATATGAACACTTTCAGTATAGCAACAAAACGGGTAATTATCTGGCTAATCAATTACAACGCAAAAAGAAAAAGCATCAATCCCATCCATACTCAATCCTAGAGGTGAAATTGTTCATAATCCACAAGATATTAACGTATTCCAAACCTTTTACAGTAAACTTTACTCCCCCAATTACAACCCAAATTCATCAGAAATAGACACTTTCTTAGATAGTTTAGAACAGCCAACATTACCCAGAGACAAGCTGACAGATTGACCCACGAGTCACTAATTACCCAATGCGCACAGCTGAGGCGTTGATCCCGCAAAAAGGCAGAGCAGGAGAGGAAAAAAGGAAAAAAGAAAGAGAGGCAGGTTGCGCCGAGCGGACCTGACACACAGAAATTAAAGACCCCTCCACAAAGCCAACACACATGAACACAGCCATCATGACACTCTCTTTAAAACCAAACAAAGACCCAATCCACCCTTCTAGTTACCGTCCCTTATAAATTATTGATT